GAGAGAGAGAGTGCGGACACAGGTAACAGGGCTGTGGCACGCGCCTCCTTCAGCAGCTCCACCTCCTCCTCCGAGAGCGCCTGCGGTGGTGGGAAGAACATAGGGAGGTGGAGCAGCGCAGCGATGCGATCGCGCCTCGTGGTCGCTAGACTGGCACGCACCGCCTCGTGTTCGGACAAATCGCGCCTCGGAGCGGTCTCTAAAGCGGAGCGGAGGTTGCGCGCTTTGGTGGACAGCTTGCCGAGCCACTTTTGATCTCTGGCTGCCTGGGACGCGTCCGCGCCGCCGAGCGCGGCAACGATGGCGAGCGCGCAGAGCGCGCCTCTGCAGCGCATCTGTGTCCCCCCGTTTTTCGGAGGTGGGGGCTTTTCGGCCTGCGGCAAAAAGAAGAAATACACCCGCGCACAGCTAGAGAAGACCTCTGCCCCCGCGGCAAAGTCAAACCACCCCACCACCTACCACCACCTACCACCGCAGAGCAAATATTGTTCCTCAGTTCGGGCCCGCTCAGAGGCGCCCCGCGCCCGTGCGGCGCGCCGAGGCGGCGCCGAGGCCGGCGCCTTGCACCCGGCCCGCGGCCGGCACCGCCTCGCCCCACCACTGACCGCCCTGCGGCCCCTGCGCAGGCGTTCCTTCGACCTCGCTCAGGCGCCGTTCGCGACTCCATGAGCCGCTCAGGACAAACCTGGGCGGTTTGGATACGCGCGTAGTACGTCTCCCACGCTGAGCTAGCAAGATATATCCTCGCTCCCTCAGCACCTTCCGCGGCGAAAAGAGAAAGTCTCCCACGCTGAGCTAGCAAGATATATCCTCGCTCCCTCAGCACCTTCCCCGCGGCGAAAAGAGAAATTAGCTGCGTTGGTCTGTGGTGGCGGCGTGCCGTCCTCCGATCCCATCCTTGGGTTGCGTGGTGTGCACTTGGAGCACTTGGAGTGCAGTCATTAACCGCACATCCAGGGCCAGGGAGCTAAGAAGCGCACCCAGCGGGCCGGATGATTGGCATCGGGTTGCGGGCAAGAGAGCCCTAGCCCTGGGGGTGCGCGTTCGCAGGGAAGGGGCGTAAAATAAACACGGTTCTGTTTTCTAATTTCTTTTTTCTTGAGCACTTGAGCACTGGATAGGGTCGGTTCCGCATGGACCATGGTACGGGACCCCTTGTTACTTCGGGCTCTGCGGAGTTACTCTCAGCCTCTTTCTCCTCGTCTTCGACTTCGCCCCCCCACCGCGCTTCACCGCCCCCTGCGCATGTCTTGTCGCCCTAGGGGCTCGGGCCCAGGCCTGAACTCCTCACTGCACTGTCAAGGGACATTCCTCTTGTACAGTCAGGCACCCTGGCACTAACAAAGAGAGAATTTCACAACAAAAGGCGAAGCGGATACAAACACAGGACCTTCTCTCTCTCTCCATTTCAAGAGAGGGTGTAGAAGATGTAGAAGTGTAGAGCGCTGTAGAGCTTCGGCAGCGTGCACCTCGATCCTGTACCGTGTTTGTTATGACCCCCCCCGATGAGCACACCAGTGAGGGAGGGCGAGACGATCGAGGGGTCCCGTACCATGCGGAATCGACCCTATCCAGTGCTCAGGTGCTCAAGCTGTAGAGATGTAGAGCGCTCTGGAGCGCTGTAGAGCTGTAGAGCTCTACATCCGCCGCGTGACGATGCGGGTGCGTTGTAGAGCGATGTAGAGGCGCTCTACAACGTGAAATCTCTATACAACAAACTCTACATCATAAGCGGCGAACGAGGCACGGTCGCTCTCCGACATGAGGCGCGTTGCACTTGCCAGTGCTGCCCTGGCCTTCTGTCTGCCCGCCCAATGGGTGGAAGGTGCCTCTGCTGCTGTGGCATGCCTCACGGCTGCGACTGGCCGGCGCCTCGGCGCGTCAGCTCGGCTAGCTAGGTGTAGCGATAGTGGCTAGCGCAACTCGCCTGGACTCAACGCTCAGCCAGGAGCTCCCGCACGCGCTGGCGCGAGTCATGGCGCATGCAACGCGTCTGAATGATCGCCTCGCCTCGCGCAAATGCGACCGTCCTCGCAGCCGACAGTCCACCGCCTGCTAAAGAAGCACTGCGATGAATGCAGCACCGGCGACGCATGGCAGGCTGGTCATGACGCAGTCATAGGGTGTTGTGTGCCGTCAGAGTGACTCTCTGTGTGTCAGTGATAGTCAGGGCTGTCAATCAGAGCTCCAGTAAGCTCAGAGACACCCCATTAGCGCGGCTCGACCTATCTTTGAGTCACTGCCTTCCCGGCGGTTTGGCTGTATAGAGCCTCTACAACAAACTCTACAGCAAAATCGCGCTCTACATCGCTCTACAACGCACCCGCATCGTCACGCGGCGGATGTAGAGCTCTACAGCTCTACAGCGCTCCAGAGCGCTCTACATCTCTACAGCTCTACATACAGCGCTCTACACTCTACATCCTCTACACACACCCTCCCTTTCAGCAGGCCAGAGAGTCGTGCGAGGGAAGAGAGAGAACTCTGCGAGGGAGCCTTTTCGTAAAATTATTCCTCCATTCTCTCTCTCTCACGCCCCTGCGTTCCCAGCTCCCTCCCAGCCTGAAAAAGGTGTTTCCCCTTCCTCGCTGCGCATGTGTGGACAGGCCCTCCTCGCTGCGCGCCTCGCACTCCCCCCTTGCGCTCATCGCCCCGGCGCCCACACCTCGATCTTCTTGGGCAGCAGCTCGTTCGATAGGTCCTCTCCGTGGCCTAGGCAGCCGCTCCCGCCCTTGCCCCACGTGAAGACAGCGCCATCGGCGGTGCGGGCGAGGCTGTGCCGCTCTCCAGCCGACACAGCGACGACGCGCTGGCCAGCAAAGGCCTCGACCTTCTTCGGCAGCAGCTGCTCCTGCTGGTCGCCGTGGCCCAGCTGGCCAAAGGCTCCCCAGCCCCAGCTCCAGACGGCGCCGTCGGCGGTGAGGGCGAAGCTGTGGTAGGCTCCAGCCGACACAGTGACGACGCGCTGGTCCGCAAAGGCGTCGGTCTTCTTCGGCAGCAGCTGGTTCTGCACGTCGCCGTGGCCCAGCTGCCCAAAGCCTCCCCAGCCCCAGCTCCAGACGGCTCCGTCAGCAGTGAGGGCGAGGCTGTGGCCCCCTCCAGCCGACACAGCCACGACGCGCTGGCCAGCCAAGCCCTCGACTTTCTTGGGCAGCAGCTGGTCCTGCTGGTCGCCGTGGCCCAGCTGCCCAAAGCCTCCCCAGCCCCAGCTCCACATGGCCCCGTCGGCGGTGAGGGCGAGGTTGTGCTGGCCTCCAGCCGACACAACGAGGACACGCTGGCCATCAAACGCCTCGACCTTCTTCGGCTGCAGCTGCTCCTGCTGGTCGCCGTGGCCCAACCGGCCATTCCAGCCGTAGCCCCAGCTCCAGACGCTGCCGTCGGCGGTGAGGGCGAGGCTGTGGCCCCCTCCAGCCGAGACAGCCACGACGCGCTGGCCAGCAAAGGCCTCGACCTTCTTGGGCTGCCACTGGTTCTGCTCGTCGCCGTGGCCCAGCTGACCATAGGCTCCAGCGCCCCAGCTCCAGACACTGCCGCCGGCGGTGAGGGCGATGTTGTGGCGGCCTCCAGCCGACACGCTCACGGCGCGCTCGCCGCCCAGCGGGGAAGGGAGGCGGGTCGGCGTCGCCAGTCGCGTCACGCCCTCGCCGTGACCGAGAAGGCCTGGCTCGTAATCCGCTGAGCCGCACGACGAGAGCCGCCCCTCACCGTCGATGAAGAGGCTGTGCGTTTTGCCTGCCGCAGCCCTCGCCGGCGGGTTGGACTCGCGCAGCATGGCCGAATAGCACAGCCACCGCACGGCGCAGCTCTCGCCCTCTGGCTGCGCCGGCAGCTCGAAGCCGCGCTCTCGCGCCCACAAGCGGATGCCCTCCAGCGCAAGCGAGGCGTGGAAGAGCAGCGAGACGGCCGCGAGCGATGTCGGCGGGGTCGCAGCGAGAGAGGGCGCGCACGAGGAGGTCCGTGGGGAGGTCGAGGAGGCGGGCGGGTGGCGGCGTGTCTGGCGAGGGAGCGGCGGTGGTGGCGGCGGCGAGGCGGCGCGAGCGGCGGCGCCGCGGGGCAGACATCGCGAGAAAAAGAAATCATTATGCCTTTGGGGCTCCCCGGCCCTGGATGTGAGGTTGATGACTGCCCCCCCCCCATAGAGCTCTACCGCCGCTGGTGTCCAGTCCGAGCCTGGCTGGGTCCGAAAACAAAGGGCCGCCTCGAGCCCGATTCCAGCGGCGCCGAGGCGCCGCTCTACCTCTCGCTCTCTCGACGGCGCGCCTGGGCTCGCAGAGGCGGCCTGGGCGGTGCAGGGTGGCTGGGCTGCCCCCCTCCCGCGGTGCGCCAAGCCTCGGGGGTCGGGGAGACCATCTCGGGTCGCCGAGGGGGCGGGCTGGGGGCGGGTCGGACGCCCGATCCGGCTGCTGGCCGGAGGACGTCGCCGGCTCCGCGATTTTGGACGCCCCAGGCGCCTCCAGCCGGGCCGAGCGGCGCCAGCTGGTAGCTGGGGCCGCAGGGCGGTCGGGCCGACACCGTATGCTAGTCGGAGTGGGTTGTCTAGGGGTGTAGAGGTCGGTAGAGTGTCCGTTTGTGCCTTCCGGACGGGCTCCGGTCGGGAGCCCGCTGGGCCGGCTGTGGCTGTGTGTCCGTCCACTGTGGACCTAGTGATGGCCTAGGAGCCCTGCACGGACGGTGTTTATGCTATATAACACCTAGGGACCGCGTGGGGTGTGGGCGGCGAGCCGCGCATCGCCATCGGCCGACAATGATCAATGTGCCGATGTACGCGCGTTTTTCGGTCACACCGCGGTCAGGGCCCGTGTTTTATGGCATATATTTATGGCTTTTGCATGAGCCATGACCTGTCCCCTGCCGCTCCCAAAAAATTACCTTTTTGCTTGCGAACAGTTTTTCTTCTTTTTCAATGTGTGCAAGAATCAAGAACCTTCCAACAACTTCCCGCATCAGCCATCACGCCCTGCTGGGAACGTCCGGGTGTTGGAAGTAAAAGATATTTTACTTTCAATGTGCAAGAGTAAACGTAAAGACTCACACCGACGTAAGCCAAGTAAATGTACCGAGGTGCCCGGGCTGCTGGCGCCCCTAGTGTGCTAACGGCCCGGCGCGCAGCCCATGCACAGACGAGGGGCCGACCCAATGCCGAGAGCGCGGCGCCCCGCAGGCGACGGCCCTCGGCGTGGCTGGGGGGGGCGTGTCGCAGCGCGCCGCCGCCGCCGCCGCCGCCGCCGCCGCCGCCCCGTCGCCCTGTGCTGATGATAACTGAGCTCGCGAGCCGCGGTGCCTCACAGGTCGGTGCAGGTGACCTGGCCATCCTCGCCGAGCAGGCAGCCGCACATCGCGCTGCCGTCCTTGACGGCGATGATGAGCGCGACGATCAGCCCGTAGAGGCCGAGGGCGGACCCAAAGGACCAAATGAGCACCTGAGAGCACAGGCGCAATGGGCAAATGGGCGGCGGGGGCGAATGGGCGGCGCGGCGGGGGCGAGGGCGGGGTGGTGAGGGCGGCGGCGGCGAGGGCTTCAGCGAGGGCGGCGGTGGTGAAGGCGGCGGCGAGGGCGAGGGCGGTGAAGGCGGCGGTCAAGGCGGCGGCGAGGGCGGCGGCGAGGGCGGCGGCGGCGACGGAGCAGCGGACGGTGAGGGAGTAGTGTCAATGGGTGCAGCGTCATGGGAGGTCGTTGCGAGGAGGCGCACCATGCCAATGTAGAGCTTGGGCTGCCGCGCGGAATCCTGCACGCCAATCTCGCCCGCCATGCCCATGGCCAGGCCGGTCGCCAGGTTGCTCAGCCCGACCGTCAGCCCCGAGCCGAGGTGGGCGTAGCCGGAGAAGAGCGAGTAGGTGGACGTGCCGTCCTTTGGCGTGGTGATGTTGGTGGCGATGATCACCGCGATGATGAGGCCAAAGATGCCTGGCGCGAGGCGGCGGCGGTGGGTGAGCGCGAGGCGGATCACGCCGTCAACACCACGCGGCGCGCACGCGGCGCAGGCAGAGAATGGTGCGGCGGCGGGCAGAGAGCGCAGCAGCGGGCGGCAGCGGGACTGAGCGCACCGCAGACACCAGAGAGGATGACGGGCATGATGGACTTCATCACCATCTCGGTTTGCACCTGCGCGGCCCGCAGCACGGCGGCGGTGGGGCGGCGACGGAGGGGGGGGCCGCCAGCTGTGCGCTCCGCTTCTGCGTCAGCGCCGCGTGCGCTAGGAAGGCAAGAGGGCGGGCGGGCGCGCCTTGTGGCGCGGCAGTTTGGAGATGGTGGCGAGGCCGACGGCCGACTTCCACGTCCCGTACCTGCGGCGGCGCCCGATCGGTCACACATCGCCATTCGCCGTACAGGCTGTCTGCGACCGGGCCGGGGGCGGCGGCGCACGCAGCCCCCATGTTCCCGAAGATCAGCGCGAGGGCGGCGCCGACGAAGCCGAAGAAGGGCGCATGCGAGGGGCAGTAGGGCGAATCCATCGGCGGCCGGCGGCGGCTGAGGCGATCGGCACAACCCTCTGATGGCTGTGGCTCAGCAGCGGAACAACAGGGTGCGAAAGAAGTACAACGCAACCAAGTGCTCCAAGTGCAACTCGCTCGCACGACACTGGCACTAACACAGTGTCGTGCGAAAGAAGCATTCAATTTCCCCCCACGGATTGGGATGTGTGTATGAGCGGCTCGCGCGCCGGCATGGCTGCCGCCGTCACCGCCCGCCGTGCGCCGACCTTGGTTGTCGCGGAGGAGGAGAGCATCTGCGGCGCACAAACAACCCTGTCGATCGCCTAACGTCGCGAGAGCCTAACAGAGAGCGTGCGGATCGATGGGCAGCCGATCGGCGAGGCGCCGCTCGCGGACGCGCTGGAGGCCGCGCTCGAGCTGCTGGGGTTCCGCCGGGGTTCGAACTAGATGGAGCTCAAAGCCGCGGGGTGGTACGTCGGGGGGGGGGGGGGAGGGGAGTTATTCGGTGAGGTGGTGGCAGCCAAACTGCTGGATCGTGTCTGCACGGCGGAGGTTGGAGGCATATTCCATGGCAGGAGCGGGTGGCTGGGATCCCACCTACCTCGTCCGGTCACATGCCGGAGCTCGCCCAAGCCGCTCTGTTCTTCACCTGCGTACAAAGATACATACATGGGGTAAAGGAACGGGTGAACAGCTTGCCTTCCCTGGGACCCCGTGTTGCATGTCTGACTGTCACTGTGCAATTTCGGGGCCCTTGGAGCACTTGGAGTGCAGTCGGTAACCTCACATCCAGGGCCGGGGAGCTCAGAAGCGCACCCAGCGGGCCGGATGATCGGCATCGGGCTACGGGCTAGAGAGCCCTGACCCCTAGGGGGGTGCGCGGTCGCAGGGCCATAACACGGGTCTCGTATCGGGTTACGGGCTAGAGAGCCCTAGCCCCGGGGGTGCGCGTTCGCAGGGCCATAACACGGGTCTCCGAGGGATAGCACCGCGCTCCGGGGTTCCCCTAGCAGCAGAACGCACCCTCTACTCGGAGCTAGCAATACGAGAATACTCTCCGAGGGTTAGCCCCGCGTACCAGGTTTCCCCTTAACTGCAGCACGCCCCCTCTACTCGGATCTAGTGATACGGGGTTGTGCGTTTATGTGAACAGCGCCTGGTGCTGCACCCCCTCCAACTGATGGGTCGGTCAAATTGAAGAGAGACCGATCGCGCGCCGAGAGACAGAGCTCTAATGCCGGCGGTCAGCTCAATGGCGCGCAGCTCAACGCCCACATCTCGCGTGCCCGCGACGCCGACGAGCTGCTCGCGCTCTTTGCCGCCCACAGCGCGAGCATAGACCACATCCACGCTGCGAACCTGTGGAACAAACTGGGCAAGCAGCGCATCGAGCGTCGGCAGGAGGAGCAGCTGGAGCGGCTGGTGCAGCGCACGGTCGACCTCGTCCTGTCGTGCAATGCAAGAGCACTGGCGAATATAGCTCACGGCGTCGCCAAGTGCACGGGCCTGCGATCGAGGGTGGTGCGCCCGCTCTACGCGGCGGTGGCGGAGGCGGCGGTGCGCGGCGGGCTGGCTGGCTTTACGCCTCAGAACCTGGCCAACACGGTGTGGGCGTATGCGACGGCGGGCGAAGCTGCAGACGCGCTGTACGCGGCGGTGGCGGAGGCGGCGGTGCGCGGCGGGCTGGCCAGCTTCAACCCGCAGGGGCTGGCCAACACGGTGTGGGCGTATGCGACGGCGGGCGTGGCTGCAGACGCGCTCTACGAGGCGGTGGCGGAGGCGGCGGTGCGCGGCAGGCTGGCTGACTTCAAGCCTCAGGAGCTGGCCAACACGGTGTGGGCGTATGCGACGGCGGGCGTGGCTGCAGACGCGCTGTACGCGGCGGTGGCGGAGGCGGCGGTGCGCGGCGGGCTGGCCAGCTTCAAGCCTCAGGACATGGCCAACATAGTGTGGGCGTATGCGAAGGCGGGCGTGGCTGCAGACGCGCTGTACGAGGCAGTGGCGGAGGCGGTGATGCGCGGCGGGCTGGATCACTTCAACCCTCAGGGGCTGGCCATCACGGTGTGGGCGTTTGCGACGGCGGGCGTGGCTGCAGACGCGCTCTACGAGGTGGTGGCGGAGGCGGCGGTGCGCGGCGGGCTGGCCGGCTTCAAGCCTCAGGACCTGGCCAACATAGTGTGGGCGTATGCGAAGGCGGGCGTGGCTGCAGACGCGCTGTACGCGGCGGTGGCGGAGGCGGCGGTGCGCGGCGGGCTGGCCAGCTTCAAGCCTCAGGAGCTGGCCAACACGGTGTGGGCGTATGCGAAGGCGGGCGTGGCTGCAGACGCGCTGTACGAGGCAGTGGCGGAGGCGGTGATGCGCGGTGGGCTGGCTCGCTTCAACCCTCAGAACCTGTCAAACACGGTGTGGGCGTATGCGACGGCGGGCGTGGCTGCAGACGCGCTGTACGCGGCGGTGGCGGAGGCGGCGGTGCGCGGCGGGCTGGCCAGCTTCAAGCCTCAGGAGCTGGCCAACACGGTGTGGGCGTATGCGACGGCGGGCGTGGCTGCAGACGCGCTGTACGCGGCGGTGGCGGAGGCGGCGGTGCGCGGTGGGCTGGCTGGCTTCAACCCTCAGAACCTGGCCAACATAGTGTGGGCGTATGCGAAGGCGGGCGTGGCTGCAGACGCGCTGTACGAGGCAGTGGCGGAGGCGGTGATGCGCGGCGGGCTGGCTGGCTTCAAGCCTCAGGAGCTGGCCATCACGGTGTGGGCGTTTGCGACGGCGGGCGTGGCTGCAGACGCGCTCTACGAGGTGGTGGCGGAGGCGGCGGTGCGCGGCGGGCTGGCTGGCTTTACGCCTCAGAACCTGGCCAACACGGTGTGGGCGTATGCGACGGCGGGCGAAGCTGCAGACGCGCTGTACGCGGCGGTGGCGGAGGCGGCGGTGCGCGGCGGGCTGGCCAGCTTCAACCCCCGCAGGGGCTGGCCAACACGGTGTGGGCGTATGCGACGGCGGGCGTGGCTGCAGACGCGCTCTACGAGGCGGTGGCGGAGGCGGCGGTGCGCGGCAGGCTGGCTGACTTCAAGCCTCAGGAGCTGGCCAACACGGTGTGGGCGTATGCGACGGCGGGCGTGGCTGCAGACGCGCTGTACGCGGCGGTGGCGGAGGCGGCGGTGCGCGGCGGGCTGGCCAGCTTCAAGCCTCAGGACATGGCCAACATAGTGTGGGCGTATGCGAAGGCGGGCGTGGCTGCAGACGCGCTGTACGAGGCAGTGGCGGAGGCGGTGATGCGCGGCGGGCTGGATCACTTCAACCCTCAGGGGCTGGCCATCACGGTGTGGGCGTTTGCGACGGCGGGCGTGGCTGCAGACGCGCTCTACGAGGTGGTGGCGGAGGCGGCGGTGCGCGGCGGGCTGGCTGGCTTTACGCCTCAGAACCTGGCCAACACGGTGTGGGCGTATGCGACGGCGGGCGAAGCTGCAGACGCGCTGTACGCGGCGGTGGCGGAGGCGGCGGTGCGCGGCGGGCTGGCCAGCTTCAACCCCCGCAGGGGCTGGCCAACACGGTGTGGGCGTATGCGAAGGCGGGCGTGGCTGCAGACGCGCTGTACGAGGCAGTGGCGGAGGCGGTGATGCGCGGTGGGCTGGCTCGCTTCAACCCTCAGAACCTGTCAAACACGGTGTGGGCGTATGCGACGGCGGGCGTGGCTGCAGACGCGCTGTACGCGGCGGTGGCGGAGGCGGCGGTGCGCGGCGGGCTGGCCAGCTTCAAGCCTCAGGAGCTGGCCAACACGGTGTGGGCGTATGCGAAGGCGGGCGTGGCTGCAGACGCGCTGTACGCGGCGGTGGCGGAGGCGGCGGTGCGCGGTGGGCTGGCCAGCTTCAACCCTCAGAACCTGGCCAACACGGTGTGGGCGTATGCGACGGCGGGCATGGCTGCAGACGCGCTGTTCGCGGCGGTGGCGGAGGCAGCGGCGCGCGGCGGGCTGGCTGGCTTCAAGCCTCAGGAGCTGGCCAACACGGTGTGGGCGTATGCGACGGCGGGCGTGGCTGCGGACGCGCTGTACGCGGCGGTGGCGGAGGCGGCGGTGCGCGGCGGGCTGGCTGGCTTCAACCCTCAGGACCTGTCCAACACGGTGTGGGCGTATGCGACGGCGGGCGTGGCTGCGGACGCGCTGTACGCGGCAGTGGCGGAGGTGGCGGTGCGCGGCGAGCTGGCTGGCTTCAACCCTCAGAACCTGTCCAACACGGTGTGGGCGTATGCGACGGCCGACTATTATCACCAGGCGCTGCTTGCCGACTGCTCGCGCGTGATCAGCGACTCGCTCGCGCGGGATCCGTCGAGGTGGGGCGTCGTGCACCGCTCTCAGCTGCACCAGTGGCAGCTCTGGCTCTCCCTTGAGCGAGGAGCAGACGGGCAGCAGCACCTCCTCTCCGAGTCCCAGCGCAAGCTCTGCTGTGCCGCCATGCAAGACACCGAAGTTACGATCTCGCGCTTCCAGCGCTCCGTCGCGATTGCCCTCGCCGCCGTCCAGCACGGCTTCGAGGAGGAGCATCCCGAGCCGCGCACCGGCTACTCGCTCGACCTGGCGCTGCCCTCTTCACGCCTCGCGGTCGAGGTGGACGGCCCCTCTCACTTCCTGCTGCCCGACGGCCGGGGTGTGCGCAAACCCAACGGGCACACGCTTCTCAAGCGGCGCCTCCTCGCGGCGGCCGGCTGGCGGGTGATCAGTGTTCCGTTCTACGAGTGGGACGGCTTGCGGTCGGCCAGTGCGCGGCAGACCTACCTGGAGAGGGTGGCCGTCCTGCCGAAGATCGAAGAGAGCGAGGCGAAGGCGGCGGCGGACGGCGCGGCGGGCGGTTCAGCCGTGGAGTCGGCCGCAGTCCGGGTGGGCACCGCGGCGGGGAAGGAGGCGGCGGAGGCGGCGGCGGCGGCGGCGGCGGCGGCGGCGGCGGCGGCGGCGGAGGCGGAGGCGGCGGCGGCGGCGGCGGCGGAGGCGGAGGCGGAGGCGGAGGCGGCGGCGGCGGAGGCGGAGGCGGAGGCGGAGGCGGAGGCGGCGGCGGAGGCGGAGGCGGAGGCGGAGGCGGAGGCGGAGGCGGAGGCGGAGGCGGAGGCGGAGGCGGAGGCGGAGGCGGAGGCGGAGGCGGAGGCGGAGGCGGAGGCGGAGGCGGAGGCGGAGGAGAGGAGGAAGAGGAAGAGGAGTGTGAGGAGGAGAGAGAGGAGGAGGAGGAGGCCGTCGGTGGTGGTGGAGGAGGAGGAGGAGGAGGCTGCGCCGGCGGCGAGGGGCTCCTCTCTGAGCGGGGCCGTGCTCGTCTCGCTGCTGCTGCTGCCGCTCCTCGCCGTGGTCGCCAAGCAGGGGCTCGGCCTCGCGCTGGGCGGGGCAGGCTCGAGGGCAGGAGGCCCCTCCTCGCCCACACGCGGCGACGCTCCTCCATATCCCTTCCTATGGGTGTCCGCGTTTTCTTAGGCCTGTTCTGTGCCAGTGCGCGCCAGTCCCTTCCTCTTGGACACCCGTGTTGCGTGTCTGACTGTCGCTGTGCTGTCGTGCGATTTCGCAACCCGGGGTTGATGCCTTTGGGTGGTGGCGTATTTTCTTCTCAATAACAAGGTCTGTTCGTGATAGCTGATACGACATACCCGGGGTAGTAGGCCCCTGCCGACGCAAGGAGCCCAATCTCCTGGGTAGTAGGCCCCTGCCGACGCAAGGAGCCCAATCCCCGGCGGTAGGCCCCTGCCGACGCAAGGAGCCCAATCCCCTGGGTAGTAGGCCCCTGCCGACGCAAGGAGCCCAATCCCCGGGGTAGTAGGCCCCTGCCGACGCAAGGAGCCCAATCCCCGGTGGTAGGCCCCTGCCGATGCAAGGAGCCCAACCCCCGGGCTAGTAGGCCCCTGCCGACGCAAGGAGCCGAATCCAATCCTGAGCGATCCAAACGGTCGCGTGGCCAACAGCGTCACACACACATGCTTCACGCGCTTGTGCTCATCGGCGTTGCGGCCGTGGAGGCGCACCAAACCCGCCCGGCGTTTCGCGCTGGCGTCGCCGCCGGGCATCGTGAGTTGAGCGGGCTGGATCATGCCGCCACGCACAGGTCCAGGCCCACTACTGGACAAAGCCGCCTGGCAGGCGCACTGCGACTTCGCGGAGGCTGGTTTGAGGATGACGCTCGCCTCTCGTGGAACATGCTGCAGGCAGCGGTGCTGGGCTCCCTCATCGGCGTTGAGCGGATTCTGGCCGGTCGACCCGCCGGGATGAGGACGATGAGCCTCGTAGCGATGGGCGCCGCTCTCTTCACTGGCGTGGGGAAGTCGACGTGGGCTGACGGTGGCGCGCGTGCCGCCGCGCAGATCGCAAGCGGCGTCGGCTTCTTGGGAGCGGGCGTAATCCGTGCGCGAGACGACGCAGAGACGCACAGTCGCAGGGGTGGGCCACGCGACTACATTAAGGGGCTGACCACCGCTAGTGCCATCTGGCTCTCGGCAGGGGTGGGTGTGGCGTGCGGCAGTGGGCACGGCCTCGCGGCAGCAGCGGCGACGTTACTCACGATACTGATAATGGCCTCGCACCGCCTGTGCATGGACCTCGAAGAGTACTGTCGCGGCTGACCGAGCTGTGTGTGTGTGTGTGTGTGTGTGTGTGTGTGTGTGTGTGTGTGTGTGTGTGTGTGTGTGTGTGTGTGTGTGTGTGTGTGTGTGTGTGTGTGTGCTGTCTGCATAGTCTGAGGGTATCCTAAAAGTTCGGCCGATTTGGGTCAAAACGCTAAAAGCACGGCTAGCCGTAGATTTGGGGCAAAACGACAAAAGTGGGCCCGCCCGGGGCAAAATGGTAAAAGTCGCGCCGCCGCAGGCGCGCGAAAATTTTGGACATTCTACTCTCCGGCGAATGCCACTAGCCCCCCCAAGCCGGCAGATGGTACCTCGGCAGCTGCAACCAAGCCAGCGGGTGAAGTGTTGTGGGAGGATGCGTCCTTATGTGTCACAAACTTGTAGCGCTACATGTTTGGACACACAGACACACCGGCGGGCGCTTTCGAGGGGCGAGCGGCAGCATTTTTTTAGCCATAGTGTGCGGGAACTACTTTGCCGTTGCGGGACGATAGGGATAGCTAGTACTTGCTGCACCCGCGGCGCGCAGCGCCGAAGAAATTTTTGAAACATGCTAAAAGTTGGGCGCTCCGAGACGACCAAAGTGGTAAAAGTCGCACTCTCCCCTGACCCGATCAAAAGCGTAAAAGCACCCGAGGCTCCAGAAACCTAACCCTCAGACTATGGCTGTCTGCTGGGGTGTGTGAGTGTGAGGAAGAAAACTGTTCGTTTTAAAACGGTTGGCAAAAATAAAACCTCCGCCACGCAGTGCATCGGCGATCGGGGACATCGGCCATCGGCAGTTCGTCTGATCGGTGGGACCGCTGTCATCGATCGCGCGTCAACGGGACACCTTGCCTGCCACCGACCGGGCCGCGGCCACCGCGAGAGCCGTCCCGCACACCCTTGCGAGCGAATCCTCTGGGTTTTCTCAGACAAAAAGAGATGCCAAAATAAAAAGAAAACGCGTCCGCAAGAATAAAAAGAAAAGACGTCGCTCCGCTGCAAAAGAATTTAAACAAAACAACTCTCTCTCAAAAGAATTCGCTCGCTTCTACCTGCTGCAGCCGGCGCGTGCGTTGCCTCGCTGCCCTTGACCCGATGGCCTCCCACCGCATCGGCGCGCGCGTCTCGGGCCTCTCGCGAGCGGAGCTGTGCGCCATCATCGAGGCGCAGGCGGGCGCGAGCGACGCCGCGCTGCGCGTGGCGGAGGAGCACGCCGCACGGCTCGTGGAGCAGCCCGAGTGGATCCTCTCCAAGGTCCTCCTCTCGCCGGACCTCGCCCCGCACATCCTCGCCCAGCTGCCGACCAAGGCGCACGCCGTCAAGGGGACGTGCCGCGCGTGGCGCCGCGGCTGGAAGGAGACGCTGGCGAGGCGCGAGAGGCCGCGCCTGGTCGTGTTCGGCGGCCTCGACAACGGCGACGAGTTTGTCGCTCGGTGGAGCGGTACGACCCGTCAACGAACGCGTGGGAGGAGGAAGCTGTGGCGCCGATGCCGACGGCACGAACAGATGTCCGCATGGCGGTGCTCGATGGCAAGCTCTACGCGGCAGGCGGCCATAGTGAGGCTGACGGCGTCCTCAGCTCGGTGGAGCGGTACGACCTGGCCACGAAGTCGTGGGAGGCGGTGGCGCCGATGGAAGAGGCGCGGTATGACCACGCCGTCGCGGTCCTCGACGGCACGCTGTACGCTGTGGGAGGCCACAACGAAGTAGACCTTAGTTCGGTGGAGCGGTACGACCCGGCGTTGGATGCGTGGGAGGCGGTGGCGCCGATGGCGGCGGCGCGGCACACCCCCGGCGCGGCGGTGCTCGACGGCAAGCTGTACGCTGCTGGTTCTGAGGGCTACGACGATCGCCTCACCTCGGTCGAGCGGTACAACGCGTCTACGAATGCGTGGGAGGCGGTGGCGCCGATGGGGACGGGGCGTCACGATCCCGGCATGGCGGTGCTCGACGGCAAGCTGTATGCTATCGGCGGGTTCGACGATGGCTCGCTCAGCTCAGTCGAGCGGTACGATCCGGCGTTGGATGCGTGGGAGGAGGTGGCGCCGATGTCGACGGCTCGAGACGAGTTCGCGGTAGCGGTGCTTGACGGCAAGCTGTACGCTGTGGGCGGCGACTCCCGTGTCGGCAGCCTCAGCTCAGTCGAACGGTACGATCCGGCGCTGAATGCGTGGGAGACGGTGGCGCCGATGGGGGCGGGGCGGATCGGCTGCATTGCCCTGGTGTAAGTTGATTCAGCCACGCGCGGGCAGGGGGGGCGCTCACGGCTCAGCAGGGCTGAGCACCTGTGAGGGTGAGGCGGTGCTCAAAAGTTCATGAAGCCGTATGCCTATATTAACTCAGTTTGGCCGCGGATGCGCGCGACGCTTGATGCGCGTTTGTGACTGCTCTTCCTTTTTACGTACATGCCACCATCTCCCCTGTGAGCGCACAGCGGGCCGCGCATTCGTGCACAAAGCAGACACCAGACCTCGGTTTCCCATAGGGTTTCTGCTGCGGTTTTCCATGGCGGTTTCCCATAGCCGAAAACCCAGGGGTCGGTCGGTTTCTGCGGCGCGCTCTGTTTTTTCTGGGATCTGTTTTCTGGGTGCGGGTAATTCTCGGCACGGATCGGCACGTGTGGTAGCGTGCGATGAGGCCTTGCCAGCTCCTGGTGGTGCCCTCAAGATCGCCGCGCGCATTGGCCGCTCCGCCGACGTTGTGATAGAGCTTCTTTCTGTATCCAACAGAGTAGATCCAAACACTGTATTGATAGGTGATAGGTACTCAAAACACTCGCACAACGCCTGCCTGCCTTTCACAGCTCAGCCTTTCAGGGCTTGGGCATGACAAGCAACGGCCCCGCCGGTCGGCGTCCGATGCACGAGGCAGCCATGTTGGCTGCCACGGCGTTTCCGCTCGGGATCGCGGCAGCCTGGCGGACTCGACCGCATCGCAGGCCTCCCTCCCGTGAGCCACAAAAGTGCGTGGCAGCGCGGCGCGCCGCCAACCTCGCTTTCGGAGCAGAAACCAGAAACCAGAAACCATAATGTGTGGCAACCGCGCCCACCCTGGACCTCCCCACGGGCGAGGAGGAGCTGGTGCGCGACGTCATCTTCGGGCTGGCACCGGTGCTCCAACCCATGCTGGCGGGCGTCATCGCGAACCCGGCGAGCTCGGAGAGGCCGGCGCCGTCGCTCGGGCTGCGAATGTGCGACGCCATCGCCGACCTGCTGGAATGGGGGCGACAGGCCCTACCGGATCTGGCGTCGACAGATAACGGCATTCTCGAGCCATTGGTGGAGCACCGGATGTGGAAGGCGAAACACGGCCTCACGGACGGGATCTACGCGGGCACCTTCGCTCAGCTCCAGGCCTTGATGGCCGACCTGGGGAGGGCCTGCGACCGAGAAGCTGCACCAAAGATCCCGGCGCCGGCGAGCGAGGCGACGGTGACATTGAGCCTCGCCCACGAGGTCACCGCCACCTCGCGCGACGCGTTTGCCGCCGCCTTCCGACGAGACGTGGCGGCGTCACTTGACGTGAACGAGGATGCGGTCTTCGTCCTCACTATCTCGGCCGACTCCGCCGTCGTCGACTTCAGCGTGCCCGGCGCCGGTGACGTGGCGGGCATACTACGCGGGGGCGGCCTTTCAACGACGTACCTGACCCACTTTAACGGTGGCGTGACCGTCGACGCCGAGGTTGGCGACAAGACGTGCCCACTACTGTGGCAGGCGGCAGACTCCACGGAGACGCGCTCATGGGAACGGCGGCTGGCTCAGGCGTTCCACCCCGAGGGGATGATCTGGGAGGAGGAGGGCCGCGATGTTCTCGCCAACTTCCTGCTACTGTCGTCGCGTCTCGTGGCGATCGGGTGGGTCCAAATCAAGTTGGCGGCGGCGGCCGTCGACGACGAGGAGACGGCGGTGCGCTTGGGACGGGCATACGGCGATGTCTTTGGACGAGCTCGGGCGGAGGCAGAGCAGCGCGGCAGAGCGGAGGATCACGGCAGATGGACGGACACGTCGCTCGAGGTGGCATCGGGTGGCCTGCACATGTTCTTCCATAGGGCGCAAGCCTTTGCCGACCGCCGAGGCGGGGTCGGCCCGGTCTTCTGGCGGGAGTTTGTTGATGCGGCGCGGGGGAGGGGGGAGTGGGCTCCGCTGCAGCTCCTCTCGGAGATCCAGACGAGTGCGGGCGCCCGACTCAGGGCGATGCCTTGGCTGATGTGGAACCGGCGGCCGTTTGCAGGGGCGACCAACGGGGACACGCTGGCTCAGCCGATGGAGGAGCCTGGGGCAGAGGCTCTGAGCGCCCAGGCGGAGGCCGACCTCGTTAACCACCGTGCAGCGGCGGCGCGGCGCGCAGCGGCGAGCAAGTGGCGGGCGAAGCAGAGGGAGAAGAACATCTGGTGGTGGCAGGCGATCTGGCGGGAGATGGAGACTGCCCGAGCTAGAGTACAGCAGATCGCGCGGATCGTTGCGAGGGGGCAGTGGCGAGGGCGGTACCCGGAGGTGCTCATCGTGGAGAACGCGACGCAGCTGATGGATCTGCTCTACAACCAGCTGGATGGATGTGAGGTTACCGACTGCACTCCAAGTGCTCCAAGTGCTCCTGGAGCGATAAAACGGTTCCCCCCAAGGGTTCCTCCCACCCAGAACATGCTGCTGTCTTAGTACTCCCGTTCGACCCATTCGGAATCCGATTAGTTAATGAAGGGTCATTCCGCCGGAATGACCCCTCCACGGGGAGATCGTTCACACCTCGAAAAACCAGAACCCAGAGTGTCTGGACCGATATTCCCATGGCCCGGATGTTTTCTGTGGGATGTGTCGAAAAAGCAGAATACAGAGCTCCTCCTCCTATAAATCAGACGGTTTCTTGATAGCTGATAAGCCAGGGAAGAGCCTGGTATCTCAGTATGTTATATCCTATGATATAACATAGTGGTGTCTGGTTTATGCACACCTCGGGCCGCGGGGCCCTAAGATCGACACTCGAGGAAGAGGTGCGCGCCGGCCGCGCGGGGGGACGCCGCTCCAGCCTCCGCCCCTCTCTCTCTCCATGCTCGCTGACTGCTCTCTCTGATATGATGCACATCACACCACATTGTTGGGTGACGCTCCCTCTCTGGGGCCCTATGTCTGCTGGCTCTGAGGCGGGGTCAGTGGTGGTATCGGCAGCGCCCCACCGCTCGGCGCTCGGCTGCACCGCCGGCGCCATCGGCAGCGCCACCGCTCGCAGCGGCGCGGCGGCGGGGGTGCGCGGCTGCTGCGCGGCTGGCGAGCCTGGCTGGGGGGAGGCCTCCGCCTCTCCGCCCGACTGGCCGCCGCCCCTCCCTCTCTCGCCGTCGCCCGGACTCAGCTCGAGCGCGACCGTCGAGATGTTCCACGGCGCAGGGCCGGCGCCGCGGCCCGCGCTTGTCTGCGGCGGGCGAGAAGGAGAAGGCGCCGGCCGGGTCCTAGAGTAGGGGCTCCTCATGGACGCGTCACAGAGGGCTCGGGAGGAGGGCTCGGAGCAGGGCCGCCGGCCGACCCACCTCGCGGCTGCTCGAGCCGACCCGCAGGACCACCGCGAGCTCTGCGAGGTCGCCGGTCGAGAGCCGCAGCCGGCGGGCGACCTTGGGAAAGGAAAGGAGTGAGGGGGCGAAGAGAGAGGAAGAAGAGGAATCCGGGCGAAGGAGGTGCGCGGGGAGGTGTGTGTAGAGAAGATACGAGGGAGTCTGCGACCTTCCACAGCGCCGCCGCCGTGAGCTCAGCGCTTGACGAGGATGATGGAGGCCGCCGAGGCGGCGGCGAGCAGGTGGGGCGCTTTGTCTACCTTGTACCTCTGGTTTTTCACATGTAGGGGTAGGACGTACACATACACACCCCCCGCGTCTCTCTCAAGTCGTCAACGGCCCGCGCGCCACTCGGCTGTCGGCTCTACTGCACGTGCTGCGTCGATTCTGTGATGTTGAAGAGCAGCTGCGTCAGCCACCGTTTGGTGGTGACGTCGTCCTTGAGGCAGGCGCTAAAGGTTGCGTCGCGCAGCACGTCCGGCAGGCACTGCCGCAGCGCCTCTCTCGCGCGCGGGTTGTCGGACAGCCGCAAGTAGCACCGCACGATGTGCTTGAGCAGCCGCGCCGAGGGCTGGTCGACGAGCGAGCCCACCAGGTTGCCTGCGGCGCGAGGGGGACGGTAGGGTGGCAGCGTGGCGGCGGCAGTTCGGCGCGCAGCGGCAGCGCGGGACAAGGGAGGCGTGTGTCGCGGCGCGGGGACGTCGGGGCGGCGCGCGCCCAGGACAGTCGAGACGGCGTAGAATCGCTCTGCAGTCGCGCAGATGTAGGCGAGGCCCGTCTCGTCGAGTAGGATCTTTTGGACGATGAAGGTTGCCACCGTCTTTGAGAGCTCGGAGCCTGTGCGAATACGCCAGAGTCAAGGGGATGCGGCACCGGTGCGGGAGGCAGCCGGCGTATGCGAGGGACACGAATACAGCGAATACGGCGGGAGGCAGGCCGGGTACATGTCCTCTCGAGCGACAGTCGGAGGACACATATCTGTGATTCAGCGTCTAGGGAGCGGCTCCGGTCTCCATGATGCGCAGGCAGAGCGGGATGATCTCTGTCGACAGGAGAAAGTTGATGACGTCCGGGTCGTCCACCTGCGCACGCGCGGGGGGGGAGAGGGTCTCCTGCACGCTGGCGCGGTGGCGAGGGGCCTCTGACGCGGGGGCGCGGGGGAATGATCCGCTTCTGGCGCGCGTGCGGCGCTTCTGGCGCTTCTGGCGCGCCAGCGGCGGCGGCGTGCGTGCGCGGCTGCGTGCGCGCCGCGGGGGAGAGACGCTAGGCGGCGGTGTGGCGCGCGGCTGCACGGCTGCGCCGAGGGCGCGCCTTGACGAGCGCGCCGATGACGCCCAGCGAGGTCAGGCGGAGGTACTCAAAGGGGCGCGTCTTGGAGATGGTGTTGAGGAAGGGGTAGAGGAAGAGCGGGATGTGCGCGTTCAGGAAGAGCGTCCGCGTCTCTGGGTGCGACGCGACGCACTGCAGCAGCGCCAGCGCGTTACAGACGCGATTCGAGGCCTGCGCGGTGAGCGACGGCGGCGACAGCAGCGGGTAGATGGCGACGATCTCCTGCAGCAGCGCCGAGATGGTGCCGAAGGAGTGCCACAGGATGGGCGCCAGGTCGATGAAGGTCTCCCGCCGCTTGCTCAGCTCGAGCAGCGCCGCCTCGCGCTGCTCTGGGTTGGTCAGCTCGAGCACGAGGTGGAAGATCTTCTCAGCCTCGTCTTCTGGGCGCGTGTGGTCAGGGCGCTGCGCAGGGTCAAGCATGCACTCTGTGGAAGGTGTTTGTTCGCCGACGCGGGGCAATGCTGGTCTGCTGGCGCTGCAGCGCAAACAAAAAAAATCCCTGTGGCTTGCACACTAGAGTTTCGCCAAAAGGCGCAATAAGCCGCGAGAGCAAGGGACCGGCAGGAGGCGGCGGCGCCGCAGAACGAAGCAGAGGAGAGCGACGCGACAGAAGAAGAAGAGACAAGGGAAAGAACGACGAGAAGGCGGCGCTGCGCAGCGGCGCGACCCGCGGTCCGCTGTGTCGGAAGAGGCTATGCTCCTACCGCTGCTGCCCGTGCTCGGCCTCGCACGCACCTCCGCGCCCGCGGCGCTGTCCGCCGCCATCGACGCCGCGTGCGCGCTGCCAGAGGTGGAGCGGCCAGACGCCATCGCGTCGGCGCTCTCCTCGCTCCACTTCTTCGGCGCCGCGTCGCCGCCGCTCTCCCGCCGCGAGCTGAGCTTCGACGAGCTCGAGCAGCTCACCGGCCGGCCGCGCGCCTCCTTTGCGCCCGCGTCGCGCTCGCGCCCGCGCCCCGCCTCGCGGCCGGCCTCGCTCAGCATGGCGGCGACCGTGGTGGGCGTGCAGGGGCTGCTCGCGGAGGCGTGCCTCTCCCAGGGTGCGCCGGGCGGGCCCGTCGGTCCGATCGCCACGCTCCGCACGCTCGAGTGGTGGCAGCTGCCGGCGGTGCTGCTCGCCACCGCCGGCGGCGCTGTGCTGCTGGTGGCGGTCGTGGATGTGGGCCTGCTTGGCGGCGCTCTGCTGCGGACGCTGTCGCGGGCGGTGAGCCCCGAGGCGGAGGCTCGCTTCGCGCGCCACGAGGCGGGCCACTTCCTCACCGCCCTTCTGCTCGGGTGTGCGGTGGAGGCGGTCGAGGCGTCGCCCATGTCTGCGCTCGCCAACCGGCGGCTGCGCGGCTCTCCCGGGGTGGTCGTCCACGCGGCGGCGAGATGCGGAGCCGAGAAGCAGCCGAGATGCCAAGCCGAGGTGCAGCCGAGATGCAGCCGAGATGCGAAGCCGAGAAGCAGCCGAGGTGCAGCCGAGATGCGGAGCCGAGAAGCAGCCGAGATGCAGCCGAGATGCCAAGCCGAGGTGCAGCCGAGATGCAGCCGAGATGCGAAGCCGAGAAGCAGCCGAGGTGCAGCCGAGTTGGAAGCCGAGATGCAGCCGAGGTGCAGCCGAGATGCGGAGCCGAGAAGCAGCCGAGATGCAGCCGAGATGCCAAGCCGAGAAGCAGCCGAGGTGCAGCCGAGATGCGAAGCCGAGATGCGGAGCCGAGAAGCAGCCGAGATGCAGCCGAGTTGGAAGCCGAGATGCGGAGCCGAGAAGCAGCCGAGATGCAGCCGAGATGCGAAGCCGAGAAGCAGCCGAGAAGCAGCCGAGAAGCAGCCGAGGTGCAGCCGAGATGCGAAGCCGAGAAGCAGCCGAGAAGCAGCCGAGATGCGAAGCCGAGAAGCAGCCGAGGTGCAGCCGAGTTGGAAGCCGAGATGGAAGCCGAGATGCAGCCGAGATGCAGCCGAGATGCCCGTTTGGTCGCCCGCTCCCAGGCGCTCGATGCGGCGGCGGAGGGGCGCGGCGCCCCGGCGGCGGATGTGGACGCGGCGAGCATCGTGCGGACTGATCTCCCCATATCTCCCCATATCTCCCCATATCTCCCCATATCTCCCCATATCTCCCCATATCTCCTCAGGTGCAGTGCTTACTGCGCGACCTGCGCACATCTCCCCATATCTCCCCACATCTCCCCATATCTCCCCATATCTCCCCAGGCGAGCATCGTGCTGATGGGCGGGATCGCCGCGGAGGCGCTCGCGTTCCGCTCCGCCGAGGGAGGCGCGTCGGACGAGCGAGACCTGCGGCTGCTGCTGGAGGCGCAGGAGGGGCGGGCGGGGCGGGACGCGGCCGGCGGCGAGGGCGGCGAGGGCGGCGAGGGCGGCGAGGGCGGCGCGGCGGGTGGGGAGGGCGAGGCGGGCGGGAAGGAGGAGCTGCGGCTGGCGCCGGCGGCGCACGCGCGCTGGGCGGCCGCCAACGCAGCGCTGCTGCTGCGCGCGCACGCGCCCGCTCTCGCCGCGCTCGAGGAGAGGCTACGCGCCGGCGCGACGGTGGGCGAGTGCGCAGTCAGCCTGTCGGAGCACATCCCCCCGCCGCCTTGCGCCGATCCGAGCGAGCAGGCGTGGCCGCGCAGCGCTGCCGCGTTCCCCGAGAGGAGGTAGACGACACTCGAATTGCGCCGAGGCGTGGCTAGGCGAGCCGGCATTGGGTTCGGGAGACGGGAGCGGTGAACGGGCCGTGGAATCCGAGCCGCGAGCGTGCACCGTGGTGCGGACTTTTAGACCTCGTGTGAGCGAGGACGCCACGCTGCGCTTTCGTTGAGAGAGCGGCTTGATCCGCATCCTGCCGGCGCGCGCCGGCGCGGCGAGGCGGCAGGCCCAGGCGTGAGCGGCGTCCGCCTCCGTCCGGCCTCTCCGTCGGAATGCCCACAAGTTATCAAATGTGTCGTAAAAACCAAAACGGTGTGTCACATGGTGGCGAAGAAACGACCGTCACTCCCCGGACAACTAAGGCGAAGAGCGACCATCGCATTTACACAATCACAGACGAACGCTGTGAGCGTCCCGCTGTGTCAGCAAGCCCGCGCGAGTCACGACTCTCGTGGGCCAGCACGATAGGCGCGAAAATAGTCATGCCGAGTGTCGGGCCCTTAGCCGGGCCCCCCTAGCCGCCGGAGGCGGCGCGCCTCAGTTGACGTCGGCGTTGAAGTCGTGCGCAAACAGCACCTCGGCAGACTCCTTGCAGAGCATCGAGAACATGGCGAGCTGGTCGGCCGCCTTGTCCTCGTCGTCCTCCTCGCGCGGCGACTGCGGCGGCGGCGCCTCCTTCTCGGCGACGCCGCCGAAGATGGCGCCCGGCACGTACAGCTGTAGCAGGGACAGCGGGTCGTCGTCGACCTCGAGGCTCACGCTCACCGACGTCTCGCCTCCGTCGCTGGCGGAGTCCATGATGCCCGACTCGATGCCCGTCTCCATCTCGATCTGCATGGCGCCCTCGTCGTCGTCGACGCCCTCCCCCTCCTCCTCCTTGGTGAAGAGCGTCTTCACGGGCGCGTCCCCGAGGTCGGGGCTCGCGCTCCGCACGCGAGACTTGCGCGACGAGCCCGAGCCGGTCGCTCGTCGCTGCTGGTGCCGCGGCTTGCTCTGCTGCTTCGCCGCCTGCTGCTCGTGGCGGCGCTGCGCGCGCGCCGCCTCCTCGAGCCGGCGCTTGTCGTTTATGCGCCGGTTGATGGCCTGCAGCTGCTGCGCGATGGTCTGCGGCGGGTCGTGCTTGGGCGGGCTCGGCGCCGGCGCCGCGCCGACCGGCACGTCGTTAGAGGCGGCGGCGACGGCGGCGGCGGCGGCGGCGGCCGCCGCCTCGGGCTGCGCCGCGACCCGCGCCGCGACGACGGCGGCCGCGACGGCGCCAGCGGGCGACGCCTGCGCCGTCGCCTGCGCCTGCGCCTGCGCCGCGGTCAGCACGGCCCTCGCCTGCGCCGCCGCGTGCGGGGCGAGCAGGACCGAGTGCGTCCGCGGCTCGGAGGTGGAGGCCTGCTCGATGCGCGAGCGCAGGCTCTTGGGCGTCAGCTTAGCAATCACTTTGAAGCCGCCCGACGTGCGCGACGGCGCCACCGTGTTGACCGCTGGCCGCGTCGGGCGGCGCTGCTGCGCGGGCGACTCGTACTTGTCGGTGGCGCACGGCGACTTTGCGAGGTCGAGCAGCGCCTTTTCGGGCGAGAAGGGGTGCTCGCGGCTGCTGGAGCGCGCCGGCACGGGGGAGGAGCACGCCCCCACGGCCTGGCGCTTGGGGAGCGGCGAGGTGCACCGGTCCGCCTCCGTCGGGCTGCTGCTGGCGCCGTCGTGGCTGGCGCCGTCCTGCCACCGCGCCATCTCTGGGTGCGGCCGGCGCAGGCTCCCGCCCCGAGCCGCGCGGCGCTCCTCGGCGGAGGGGTCGTACTGCGGGCGCAGGGGCTCGCGGAAGGGCGACTCCATCAGCGTCTTGAGAAAGTCGCCGCCGACGCCGTCCGCGTACTCGTCGAGCACCTCGGCGTAGTCGTCGAGCGCGGGGCCGGCCGCGGGCGCGACGGCCTGCTTGCTGCGGCGCGGCTTGGGCGCGGAGAGGGCGCCCGTGAGGCCGCCGCGGGCCATCTCGGCCCGCCGCTTGACCGACGAGTTCCAGTGGTTCTTGATGGCGTTGTCGGTCCTGCCCGGCAGGCGCTTTGCAATCTCGGCCCACTTGTTGCCGAGCTCCAGGTGGGCCTGCATGATGATCTGGTCCTCCTCCTCGGTCCACGCATTCTTGGAGATGGTGGGATTGAGGTGGTTGTGCCACCGCTCGCGGCACTGCGGCGAGGGGGGGGGGGGGGGGTCTCGGTGAGGGGGGGGAGAGGGGGGGGGGGGGGGTTTTTAGGGGGGCAGGGGGGGGGGGGGGGGGGGGGGCGAGGGGGGGGGTGCGGGGGGGGGGGGTGGGGCGGGGGGGGGGGGGCGGGTGGAGGGGGGGGGAGGGGTGGGAGGGGGTAGAGGGGAGGGGGGGGGGGGGTGGGGTGGGGGGGGGGGGGGGGGGGGGCGGGTGGGAGAGGGGGGGGGCGGGGGGGCGTGGGGGGGGGGGGGGGGGGGTCGGGCATTGGGGGGAGGGGCTGGGGGGGAGGGGGATGGGGGGGGTGGGGGGAGGGGGGGGGGGGGCTGGGAGCGGGGGGGGGGGGGGGGGGGGCGGGGGGGGGGGGGGCGGGAGGGGACGAGGGCGGGGGGGGGGGGGGTTCGGCGGAGGGGGATGGGGGGGCGGGGGGGGGGGGGGGGGGCGGGGGGGGGGGGGGGGGGTGGCGGGGGGGGGGAAGGGGGGGGGGCGGGGCGGGGGGTCTTGGGGGGGGGGGGGGGGGGTCGGGGGGGGGGGGTGGGGGGACCAGGAGGGGGTCGGGGGGGGGAGAAACTACATGGGTCCCTAGTAGGGGGGGTGGTGGAGCGAAACGGGCGGGGAAACGTGGCAGCGGCATTTGCGCGCCTGCTTGCCGATGCGGCCGGGGAGCTTCGCGGCGATGGCGGACCAGCGCTTGGCGCCCTGCTCGGCGACGAGGGAGCGCAGCATCGCGTCCTCGGGATCCGACCACGGCCCCTTGACGATGAGGCCGTCCTGCTCGTTGTCGTCGCAGTCCTCTTTGATCGAGTCGTCGTCGAGCTCGAGCGAGGGCGTGCGGCGCGGGTCGATGGGCACGGGCGCCGCCGGAGCGGGGCGCTTGCGCGGCCGCGACTTGCTCGCCTTCTTGGGCGGCGCGAGGTCGGGCGAGAGGGCGTCAAAGTCGAGCGCTCCCTCGAGGCTGTCGTCGGGATCCGAGCGCGCCGCCTTGGCGGGCCGGCTGGAGGACCTGAACGGCGGGCGAGGGGAGCGAGGTGAGTGGGCGGCGGCGGAGCGGAGGAGGGTTGCGGGCGTGGGGCACGGGCGGCTCTCGCGCGGCGCGGGCGAGGGGAGCGGCGGCGGGCGGCTGCAGAGGTGGGTCAGAGGCGAGACGCTCTCGGCTCGGCGCTGAGAAGCGGGGTCGCACCCGGCGGAGCGCGGCGGCGGGCTCCTGCAGAGAGGCACAGAGGCGGTGAGTAGGGAGCTCCTGGGCGGGGTGAGGGGCCGCGCGAGGGGCCGCGCGCGCAGGGCTCGCGTCGGCGGCTCGCGCACAGGCGCAGGGCGCGATGCAGCTGCGCGCTGGGGGTCAGGGGGGGCGGCGCGGCCCAGGAGCGCGGAGCAGTGCTCGAGGAGGGGCGAGCGCACTTGGGAACAGCGGCCGCGCGCGTCCTCGAGCGCGTCATCGTCCGCGCGCGGCGAGAACCTTCCCACCGGTGGAACGCCTGGCGGGAGCTTCTTCGCGCTCTGCTTTCAAAAAACAATTCATCGTCGGGCTGCTAGGGGAAACCCGGAGCGCGGAGCTATCCCTCGGAGACCCGTGTTATGGCCCTGCGACCGCGCACCCCCGGGGCTAGGGCTCTCTAGCCCGTAACCCGATGCCGATCATCCGGCCCGCTGGGTGCGCTTCTGAGCTCCCCGGCCCTGGATGTGAGGTTACCGACTGCACTCCAAGAGCTCCAAGTGCCTGCCCCTTGCGCCTTGGCCTGTAAGCTGTATCCAGGTTTCTGGCAACCCAGACAGAGGGAAACCAGAGGGCCCCCAGAACTTTTTGTAGCGGGTGTTTGGTGCTCCATTCTGGGCAACTCTCGATCGAGTTTCCCTGAGCAACTTCGGTAGGAGAGAGCTGGTCTGGTGCAAAATCTTGCAAAAATCGAGCAAAATATCCGGATATTTCCAGGAATCCTCGGGGTTTTGCCGATTTGGCTGATTTTGGGACCAACCGCAACCCCAGCCTCAGACTCGGCAACAAAACTCTCTCTGACTCGGCTCAGAGCCCGGAATTTGACGATTTGCGCGGATCACACCGATCTCATCCACATCTGACGTTCTGGTCCGCCCAGCCCGGGCCCCTGTCCATGTCGCGATGTCGACCGTCGTCAGAAAACCGAGCAGAAAACACCCACCTGCGTGGATCGCGTTACTTACACCAATGGCAAAAACCAAAATGCTACACAACAACAAGAATAACCAGTCCAATGCTCGCACCAACGCGGCCAAAGCATAGATAGCAACCTCGAGAACCTCGAGCGAGAACACCCTCCCTCAGCCGGCGCGCTGCAACGCTGCCCTCGCCGCGGGGGCTAGATCCATTTCAGGACAGTTCATCACGATATAAAAACATTCCCTCGCCGCCCCCGCCCGTCCAGGAGCCCGAAACTCAGCCACCAAAGAAAGAAAGAATTTTACAAACAAAGAAAGAAAGCAGACAACGCAAGGGAGGGATGTCACCTAGTCCCTAAGAAAGAAAACAGACCAACCCAAACGAGGGATGGGACGAGGACAGGGTCCCCACCTGCACGAGCAGGATTTTGGAAGGATGATCAGGGACACCCAGGGGAACGGGAGTGGGGAGCGCATCGCGACGGAGGCACCCACACCTAGTCCCTAGTCCCGGCTCCAGTCGCCAGTCGCGCACTTTTCTTTTTTGTGCTAGATTTTTTTTGTCGTTAGCATCCAGGGTTCCGGCTCCAGCCGGATAGGGGTTCTGTTGCCACTGACTCGCGCCAAAACGCCCTACCTATTGCCGGCGCCAACCGCCAAGCCATCCAATCATCACCTGCGATCCTCCGTCTTTTACGTCAGGAATTGGAGCAGGCTCACATCGCTTCCAGGGAGGGGGGCGCGCTTCTACTCACGCCCCACCCCCCCCCTAGCATGGGGCGAAGCCTCTGGGGGGGTCGGGACCCCCCCCCTAGCATGCGGGGAAGCCTCTGGGGGGGGTCGGACCCCCCCCCCCCCT